TAAGTTGTTTTGATTTTTAAAACAAGTGCAACGATTTGTATGGCTTAAGAAATGCAACACAGCTGAAATATTACGATAAGTTTGTAAGTATGTATGCGTAACCTTCAGTCTCGTCTCACTTGTACGAACTTTCAGATAAGAAGCGAAGATAAACGGATAGTTTATGGTTTGCTTTAGAGTGATTTGAAATAATACAGCGAAACTGCGATAATGTGTCTTTTAAGACAATACCTGACTGTTTGAACAAAACAGTTTTAGAATCATCGCACGCATATCACATAAAACGTAATATTATTGTATGTAATAAATAAGGACATCAGATAAATTAAGTAAATAAGTCCTTTCTGTTATAATTTTTATATACAGATTCATGTATGCATCGATCCGTGTATCCAAGTATGACCATATTATACGAACGAACGTTTTTCCTCCGGACCTTACTATTATCACCATCACCATAATCATCATTACCTCGTAATCATGCTTCATTCACATATATGTATGATACCCTTACCTCGGTTGACGGGTTAACAAATTTTCATTTTATTTTTTTAGCTTGGGCGTTTATGGAAAAAAAGAAAAGAAAAAACTCTCAGTAGCTACGTAGCTACGCTTTGAGTTGGAAGGTACATTGACAATCGATATTCCGATTCTAGTATGTGCATTTTTTTTTTATTTTACTCGTAGATGGGATAAAAACTGAGTGAGTGTAGACAACTTGAGACGTTGACTTCAGAAATCATTGTGATTTGGCGATACAGCGTCATTATTATACATGTAGATATATAATATGTTCACGCATCCACATCATCGATATGTTACAATATAAAATGTGTATAGGCATATTACGTCATGTTAAGTAATCTATTCAGCGATAGGTATTTTTATGTAACATAACATTTTGATTCTTTTCAAATTCTGGGCGGAACAGGAAAGCTTTTTCGGTTCTAAAATGTAGTAGGTATTTTTTAGAAAACATGTTTTAGCGCTACTAATTTTCACGTTTAGCGCGTAGTACAATCTACACATGCATCATTCAACCGAAAATTGATTATATTTCGAATATGTCAAAGTATCAACATTTTCAATACTTAAAAAGGATATTATACAAAAAAATCTCAGCGTTCATGTATACATGCATAATATTATAACCCCTTATAAGACCTCACAAACACTGTTGCCCAATGTGTAAACTGCGTTGTAATATACAGGATGATTTACCAAACATGCTCACCCTATTTTTTTTCAACAATGCAGTTATTCAAAAATAAATTTTTTAAATTTTCAAGTATATATACTTAAAGACCAAATTTTACTAATGTTGAGATTTTTTTTACTAAATAGGAGTGTTCTCCAGAAATTCAAATTTTTATTTTTCGAATGAGATTCCTCCTATTTTACTGTAAATTATTTAACAAATAATTTTTCTGAAAATATTGATATATCAACATCGAAATTCAAACTAGTAGTTTTTAAGTTATTGATTTTGTGTGCTGAGGGTTTACGATAATAGATTCAGGAAATATGGGGGTTATTGTGACTAGAATATGTTAGTAATCAATATTAATCTGTCAATATTTATAATTTGGAGAAATGGTCCAAACATAGTATCCAATATTATTAAAAATATTTTATAATTTTTCCAACCATTTTAAAGGGCCGTTATCTTCAGTAAAGACGTTTTATTAGTTGAAAAACGTTTCATTAAAATTTTTAAATTTGTTTAAGTGCGTTAAAAATTTAAATAAAAAAAAATTATTTATTAAATAATTAATTGGTAAAAATGTGGGGTTTCATTTGAAAAATAGGAGTTTATATCATCACAAACCTCTACTTAAGTTGTAAAAAATCTCAATAATTTAAAAATAGTTTTTTTAAGCATTTTTAAAATTTTCAAAAATTAGGATTTGAATTAATTTATTATTAAAGAAAAAATAGGGTGCATGTTTGACGAATCAAAACATTAAAGTGTCGCCGCGTGAATCATAAAGAAAGTTCATATTTCACGTGTACCCCGTATTTTATACAATTATTGTGCGCATATCTAAAGCATATTTATATTAATTAATGTAATTGTATAAAATAATTATCGAAATTTGTATGTTCACGTACACTCGCCCGTTCAAAATTTTGTGTGTACAAAGCAAATAGGGGATGTACCATCAATGGTAAAATTTGAGTTCAGACTTGGACATCCACGTGGTAACTACAGGTACGTGGTTATAATGTAGTATTAATGTATTACCCAAACGCGGTTATTGATGATGCGTTTTCGAGTGTATCCTGTTACTCATGAATGGTTAGCCACCGCGGAACGTGTGTAGTGTGTACGTAAATAGTTCTGACCGTTTAAACATTAACGGTAATTAGTTATTGTGTTTTGACGCACATACCCAAAACTATACGCAACAACGGTGAAATGTTTTAGCTACATTTTAAGCAAGACCTACCGCTACATATGCAACGCAATAGTATTATATTATGTTAAATAGAAACGGTCAACATTAATAAACTAAATACCGTGCAAAGTCGAAACGACGAGGTTTTGTGTGAACCCGCGGTCAAGATAACTGAATTCAAAACATCCACTAAAATATAATGTTATGACGACCAGTTATAGTATTAAGTCGGCTGTTTGTTGATCGAGAATTTTATTTGATGTCATTCCGTTCATTTTCAGAGATCACAGTAAGCTCATATACTAATAAACACACGAAGATTGTGGAAAGATTATTTTAGTAATAATAATAATGAGAAAAAGAAAAAAAGAAAAATAAAAAAACATTTCTTCAGTACACAAACAATATTATATATATTCTGTAAAAATATACCGTTTTATTGTACGTGTCTACTGTTTTTGTCTTGTATTTTTTTACGAATTAAAAAAAAAAAATGTTTTGTTGTTCAAGAATTGCATTAATATTTTTATATAGTGCGATTCTACTTTGTAGTGTATTTCATTTTATATTTAACCAAACGTGTTTGGTTTTATTTAAAAAATATATAAAATTTGACTATGGAAAACAAAAATACTGATTCGATTTATATATTTTTTTTTTTATTTTAATTATGATTTAAAAAAAAAATAATAATAAAAATATTAGCCCTCTGTAGATAATTATTCATATACACACAAGTCTTTTAGAAATAGTTATCTGGTTTATATGTTAATCATCATTATTATTAAACATTTATAAATTCAATAATCTTAATCTTACATAGTAAAATTAAACTTTTTTAAATTATAATCGTTATTATTGCACATTGTAGCAAGATTTTCCAAGTTGTTATTTTCAGTACTAATTGTGAATTTAATATGGTTAGGCATTTGACATTTTTAATACGGGAATAATAAATAATTTTAAATTTTAACAGGAGAAACAAATGAGTCTAAAGTGACCTATCATAAATTAAGCTTAAAATAAATCATCATTCACCTGCTTAATTTAAAAGGATTTGCAGAGACCATATTATAAACCTTAATGTTTTCTTATATATATATACTATACTAAGATCTTATACATTATTTACAAATGATTGCTTAAATTTTATTATAAAAAAAAAATTATTATTTTCGTTTATCCTAACGCTATTTAGTGTTTATATCGGCACATCTCAGACTAAGCTGTCAATAGTCCTAATACAGAGCAAATTTTGTAGATGACACAATGAAAGTGTCTTATGATAAAAATCCTTTTAAATCTCCAATTCCATGATTTTTAAAAACACATTAACTCACTTGCTCCTTAGTACAAATTTTGGAGAATTAAAGTTAACAAAACCTAATCCAAACAAACAACATTATTACTCGTCGGAGATTCAACTCCTTTTACCACCAATCACATTGAACGACATCAATACAATATTTAGACTATTAAAAAGGCAAAATTTCCAGAAAGAACATGTTAAAATAATGATGAAATTAAATTATTTTGTCTAATTTTTAAATTGTGTCATATCATCAGGATAATAATATGATGCTAAATTATATTGCAAACTTATTTTTTAATTAAATTTAGATTCAGAAATATTAAAAATAATAAAACAAATTGTTAGCCTAGATTAAGAAAAATTATCTACTAACAAATAACAATATTTTTTAACTATTTTTTTCTAGTCCTAATGAAAATTATATTTTCTATGAAAGTTTGAATAACATTGAACGTTATACAATAAAAATAATAAAATATCTGGGTATTCACTATGAATTAGATTTACCATTTAAGCTTAATCATTATAATTACAGGCAGACAAATCGTTCAAGATACTTTGTTCTCTGTTTTTTTTTTTTTTTTTTTTTTTTTTTTTATAAAATTTTTTTTTTTTTTTTTTTTTTTTTTTTTTTTTTTTTTTTTAACAGAAACACTATTATTATTTTGTATATGGAAATTTTCAATATAAATCATTAAAAAGATTTGTTCATGTCTCAAACATACCTATTATCTAATCAAATAAGTTTAGTGTATTCAGAAATCTATTGATTAGACTCACTTCAATAGTAACACCGATTGACATAATTATTTGCTTTAATAGATTTTATAGTTCTTTCTTTTTTTTCTAGAAGTAAAGATTTATTTTTCATTCCTTATTATGAGAAAACGGATTAGTTAGGATTAATTTTTCTCTTGTGCTTTTGAATTTGTTTAAAAGGTTTCGATTTTCCTAGATTTCTTTACGTTTAATCACGTTTTTTGCACATTGTTATTTTTAAATTATATTGTTCTTGAATCCTTACAACTTTTTTCGATAAGGGTTATTACTGTTTTTATTGTATATTTATTTTTAATAACTATCAATTTATACAAATATTTTTCAGTTAAGCAAAAAGAATTTCAGTTCATTAAATAAGCTAAAATGAATAATTTGAATGCTATTTTGTTTATTGGTGATTAAATTAAAACTTAAAAATATGGTAACGTTTGTTTTAAATTTAATTTTAATGTTTTTGAATATTAACTGATAAGTTTATTGTTATTAATATAATTTAATACTATTTTTAGGTGTTTATTGAACTGCTCAAAGTGGAATCCACCGCAAAAAAATAACTACGTAACAATCGATCAAACACTGTAAGTATATATATATATATATTATATATGTAATACTGTAATACACATCATTGTTATTAATCAAAATATAATACACACTATACACCAGAAAGTAACAACTGATGATGATTTTAATTTATGATGTTACTAATAGTAGCAACACTGTCTGTTATAAAATATTATAGCTATTATTTATAAATTCTAAAAGCATTTAATATGTAAATAATAATATTTTAAAAAAGTAATCGGCCATCGTAACCATCGACATAGTTAGTAATTTATTAAATAAAGTGAACAGTTTTGTGAAATAATTTCGGGACTTAAATTGTTTTATTCGCAATGCAAATCATATTAATATAAATTAAATCCTTCTTTGCAAAAAAAAATTAAAAAAAAAATTAAAGTTTTCATAACCACAAACTGATTTTCTATTACTGGTGTATATTATTTTTATTATATATTTCGTAATAAACTTTAATACTATGCATTATTATCATGACCAAAACGACATAGTCTAGTAATGCTATACGTTCCAATGTTCCATATTTTTCTGTAAAAGTTTAAATTGAATTATAATTTGTTTACACGGGATTTCGATGTCGGGTTTTTGTTTTAAAGCGGCTGTGATTTTTGTCTCACGAGAATCGCTCCGTAATTTTGGTTCTGGGGTCACTGAGGCGTGTCTGGGCTTTCCTTATTTTCAAGTTTGAAAAGCGATTAACCATCGTCACGTTCTTAAAATGACTTAAAACGTCAGAACGCATCTAGTGTTATATAATTTTGACGTTGTTAGATATACATGTTGTTTTATTTTTATATTTAAATGTAAAAAATGCGCAAAAAAAGTATAATCATTGAAAGTCCCGAAGATGGTATTGTGTAGGTAAATGGCAATGTACAAAATGTGCGATCAATACTCTATACATGAAAAATTTAAGTATGTTAACCATATATGTACCTATTTCTCTTCGGCTTTGAATTTAAAAATAAAATCGTTTTGTATTTAGATTTCAACGGTTACTAATAAATATTTTAAACAATTTTCTTCGTTGTTAAAATGTATTAGTTTAAAAAAAATCAATTTTATGGTTTGGCCAACATTGTTGAAACGTTTTTTTTTTTTGCAACAACTTTATAATATGGTATTATGCAGTATGTAACTCTTAACTTTGCCTATATTTACAAAATGTAGTATCTATAAAATTATTTTGTTGTTTTTTATATTAAAAAAATATTTATTAAGGAAGAACAAAAATGAAAAAAAAATACTCGAGTAAAATATTTTCATCCTTACTTATTAAAGTTGTCCCAAAGGCATCATAATCCCTTTTTAAGTCTTTGTGGCAGTCTACGAATTTAATAGACACATTTGCACTTAAAGATTCCATTATTTTGTAATCAAAAAGAAGTTCACACCATGGGAATTGAGTGGATATCGAATAACTTTAAAATGAATATCGATTAGAAATATATTCGCGGCAATGTATTTTTATGGAATATACACGTATTTCATAAATAATAAAAAAAAACAGGGAATCCACTCTGCTATATAGCAGGTATTGAGTGCACTTTTCCATTAAATAGGTCATTATAATGTATTGTATTAAATTTTAATTCAACAATAAATCATTGCGTAGGAAAAACGATTTTAACGGAGTCGGTCTGTCAGTATATATTTCTAAGGATATTTTTTATTTGTTTATTTATTCTGCTATTTAATCTTTTTTTATTTAAATATCTTTTTTATTAGTCTATTTGTAAAAAGCTGTATACCTATGAATAAATATACAGTTAATTTATAACATAAATAAGAAATAAGCTAATGATTTTTCTTTTTTTGACCTCCGAAATACCTACTTTATTAAATTTACTACTATAAATCACCCTAAAAATAAAAGATTGAAGTTAGAACATTTTTTATTTCAAAAATGAATGAACAAAAAATAAATAACACCTACATATCATTGTAAAACCTATTAACATCTCACTGTCCCTAAAAAATATCTATCCAATGGAGCTCTCTCAAGAGGTATCAAGGATCAAGATCCTTTAATACAACTTTGGTTATAACGATGAATATTTTCAATAGTCTACTTTAATATGAACTACGAGACTTAATTTCGATTTACTGTTACTATGGTAACATTTTTAATATAATATTTATTAATAGTTGGGTTTTGTTGATTTGAATAGAATGAATATAAACATGTACACTTTATTATAGTTGTTACTATTATAAAATTAGTGTGACAGCAATATTAACGTGCTGTGAATTGTTAATGAGTAGACCTATTAACTAGAGGGTTAAATTGTCAAATTTTATTAAAGCTTTTATTGTTCTCTTTCAGAATTAGTAAATAGCCGTAGTTCCAAGAGTTTTAATTTTACATTTATCAGTAATTCATTTTTCATTGAACTAATGAACATTTTTGTATTTTGATTCAAACGATAGATTAAACTCTCGAGTTTACTTATAATGATTTGTGTATTTATGTATCATTATATTGTATTGTCTTTGTATAAAATTATTTTTCTAGTTTTTGCAAGCATCAAATTAAATGTTTGTTGTATTAAAAACTTTTGAAAGCTTGAAGTAGTTCTCTAACTAAAAACAATTAAAATAAATTTTACTTAATTTAATAACTTTAATAGGTTTGAATGTAACATATGCACGAAAATACCTATTTGGATTTGAATTTTTCGTGTATGATAATACTTGAGGTTTTGTATATTATATTATATTATATTATATTATAGTGAGTACATAAAAGAAAATACCTTGACATATTAATTAGACGATAATATTAATTTATGATTTAAACTTTAAAGTGAAGTGCAGTTGTTACTTGATCTGGTTACTGTAAACTTACTTGATAAAATAATATGCGTTTAGTGCTCGTAGTATATTTTTTAGTTACGTTTTGTTGTTAAAAAAAAAAAAAAAAACTAAATGATCAAAATAATCGTTATTCTAAAGGAATAATACTTAAGATTAATATTATTTTAAATCGTGCAAACGAATAGAATATTTTCTTAAACAGACACACGTTAATTTTTTCTTTCTTTATCTGAAAACTCATCTTGTGATCCTACAGCTATTGTGTGTTTAAAACTGAAAAAAAAAACACATAAAAGTGGAAAAAGAGCAACGTTTTAGTCTGAGACATTACCAATGAAGTCTCATCCTCGTTCTTCTCTTTCAGGGAGATATTATTATGAGGTTTATCGTGTCTCGTTTGCGTCATATTTAAATCACAACTGTTTGGCGCGTGCGTACACCCTGGGGTGCATATAAATGCATACGTCCATAATATACAAGAAATTTTACTGTGGCGAGAGGAAAATCTTCACATACCGACAATCACCTGATTTATTTATATATTTATAAATATTTATGTCTTCTTTTTCATGTCAATGATAATGATACTGCATATCGAATTGAGGATGAAAAGCGAGGAAAGATCTCCTACACCCCTTCTACTATACTTCCGTTTTAAGAATGGTCATGGCGTATATATTTTGTTCATACACCGTGTTGTTCATATCTGGTGAAAATGAATCGATAATAGTATTTATTGTTACAGTGACTGAAATCATATCAAAACACCGGTTATTAAAACTATTTTATCACAGTAACTTTTATAATAAGAGTCTTATTTTGATATTTTCGAAACCAATATTTTGAAAGTATTAAGCGCATTTTACTAATTGATTATACTTGGACTAGTTTAAAATTGTAATCCTAAATAAAAAAAATGTGCTGTCTTGCGACTTATAACGATTTCTATTGCTCTAGCACAATCAAGAAAAGTATTAACTGAACAATATATCTGTGGACTGTGTAGGTACATGCATAGGGACGTTGGTGTGTGACGAGTTAGGACCAGAGAAGGTGAGTTGCGAGGTCCTTTTGGTGTGATGAATGGCTCGTTAAAATAATAATGTGAATGACGTCTCGCCGAGGGCCGCAGGAGAACCGTTAGGCTGCCGCCGCCGGTCGAGCACACACAACGCATTAATCACATGGCAACGATTATTGTTTTACCACGGGATGGCAGTGCGACGGGTCGTTTTCGGTTCGAATTGGGTAGTTTTGAAGTTATGCAAATGGTTCTTGTTTAATAAGTAAATAATAATACATGCCGCCAAAGATCGCATGACGTGTATATAATTGCGACTGTGGCAATCGATCACACCTCTACAAAAGTGGGTAGTTTGCCCAGGAGCATTCTTCTCGATAGCCGGATATTACTATAATGTGTTACGACACTTTCCGTATAGAATATATATTATTATAGAGAGTAAAGCTATTTAATATTGGACAAAGTTTAAAATATTTTCTATCATTGAACATGCGAATAATTTACGCGTGATGCGAGCTAACACAAATATGAATTTAGTTAGCGGAATATAATTCGAAGTTTTGTACAATACTCATGGTGAGTTTCGCATGCACATAATACGACGACATAAACGATAATAATACCATATCACTCTGTTCGAATGCAGGTAAGTCTTCAACACGTATGTCTTTGATAGAAATATATGCGTATAGATATATCTCGTACTCACGTCATGTGTTGACAAATTTTTATGTTGAATCAGATCAACCAATTCCATCGTTTAAAAATCCAACTGAGATATTAAACGTAATTTCAAAATTGTGACACTTTTATAACGTCTGTAATCTAGATAACACGTCGACGTGTTATATACAGAGTGATTCACTATTCATATACATTTTTTTCTTCTCTTATAACAATACAGTTATTCATTTTTAACTTTCTTGAGAATACTAGTAGTTAATATAAATTTATTAACATCTAAAATTTGTATAATTGGTCAAAATATGATAAATAATTGATAAGATATTACGTATATGTTATATCTTCGTAAAACTAATTTTAAAAACTTTTATCGATAAACTATAAATTTTAATAATTGAAATACTAATAAAATTTTGAATTAGGTAGGTACATTAAAATTTATAAAATAATATATATTCATTGAGTATAATATAC